ACTGGCACATATCAATAAAATGACTCAAATGATAAGTGGAAACTTTTTATTTCTATGTTAAAAAAAAAAAGCATCCATGTGGACAAACAACCAGAAGTTTGTGATAACATACCGATGTAACATACAGATAAATTAGAAAAATTTCGAGTTTTTCATTGCATTTCTCTCCAAAATAATTCAATTTTACAACACACAAAATGTGCAACAGCAGTGTGATTAACGATCTTTATATCACCTATTGTGATTAATCTCGTAAACTCAACACCATCTTGATATAAGACTTTTATTCCCATATCTCCAACTGGTAGAAACGAGACTAGCATGGTAATGAATCTCCACATTTCATCTTGTGTTGGCTGCTTCACTTCCACAAGAAGCATTTTATGGATGAACTGGTGTCGAAGACGTATGTCACTAGTGTCTATGTAATGACCAAAGCACGGCGCCCTAATATAAGTCCTTCTACATGGCATTTAGCTTGGGATTCAGATTTGAGATTACGTCATATGTCATGCTTTCATTGAATTTGTTGCTGGAATTCCCATTCTTGTGCACAAACATTCGAAGAAATATTGAGAGACGTGGTGCAAACTTCTTAAATGAAAAACATATATATATAGAAATGATCTAATGAGTACCGGTGCTCATTAGATCATATCTGTTTAAAGAGTTCCTTAAAGAAGCTCAAACATATAACAGCAAAAGGACCACCATCTACGCCGACCATAGATGTTGACACCACATATGCTATTTAAAAGTAGACACAAGCAAACCATAAACATAAATTAAGAATTTCGCCAGTCTATTTAGTCTTTTCGTCTTATCACGCTTTACACTTTTTATAACATTGGATGATGTACACCTTTAATGAGAAAATGTATCTCATGCTGAATACTATATATGGATAAATAAATGTCTCCTAGTTAATAGTTTAAAATTATAAGATGAAATAGGGAAAAAACAAAAGTAATGTTATTCATTCCCAATGGGGATGAAAACACAGTCTAAGTGGCTTTAAATGATAAGTTAAATGAAATGTGAAATTAAATAACTTTTAATACCACATTAACGCCACGTAGACTGTGTTTTCATCCCCAGTGGGAATGAATAGCATTACTCNATTGGTGGTTTAATCTGAGCCTGATTTGTTGTTGATTGAAGCCCCAAATCTCCACAGGACAGTTAACATGGGTAGTGTATTAATGATTTCATAGTACTAGGGAGGGACACTTAACATATACAATAATATGATACAAATAAAAAAAAAAAAAAAACATAGAATCCATATTCATTGGTGATTTTGATGCAGAAATGTCAATTTATTTGAATGATGAATATTGAAACAAGTAGCAAAAAAAATACAGAAAAGAAGTAAAATTATAAGCACCCGAGCACTTCTCTATTCTCTTTTTTTGCTTTCCTATTTTTCTGGTCCACTGGAACCGGAAATTGGGAGAGAAGTACAAATCCACAAATAAAAATTCCTAATATCTTCACAAATCGGTACGAGGGATAATGGGTTTGATCTTGATATCATTGAAAAAGAAAATGTATAGATATGAATAATGCTTATTTGCGGGATGTGAGGTTTCTATTTTTCGAATTTTCCAATTGATTTGATTTCGATTTGTGCCTAAAGATGAATGAGACGAAATTTGGGGATTTTGGCGATAATTGGGAGTGAATTAAAGAGGCTTGTTTGATAGAGAGATATAAGCTACCTATATTATTTATTATTATTTGGAGTTAAGTTGTTTTTCATAAATCGTTTTACTGTATATATTGTAGTGTTTGTGGAATAAAAAAAATGATGATATGAAATTTTGGAATATTCATTTAAAAGGATGTAGTCAATGTAATTTCCACTACAATATATTATAGATTTCTTCAAAAAAAAAAAAAGTGGGAAAAAGCTTTAATGCATTCAATTTTGCAAATGAAGGAGAAAAGCCACAATATGATCCATGAAAAAGTAGATAAATATAACTGGATCACATTAAAGAAGAAAAAAGGTTCAAATTTCATTTATTATATTGTTTAATACAGCTTTTTTAATACTTATGCAATTGAATAACAAGCTTTTAGTATTTACTTGCAGGTAAAAAGCAGCAGAGGTCTCCAAACTTTGACACACGTTGCACCTTGGTCCCCATTCTACACACGAAACATTTACATTTGGAATCTTTCATTTAAGTAGCAATTAGCTCCTTAGTGGACAATTTTATTTTACCTTTAGTTAACCATCAAAAATTATATTAGAGGATAGTTCAAATAAAAGAAAGAATTAAACCTTTGTTCGATTCCCATTATTTTTAGAATACGTTTTTTTTTCAATCACATATTTTGCAATAAAATAATATTATAAACAAATTTATAAAATTTCTTTATTTTTTAATCACATGTTTTCCTTCAATTTACCATTTCAAAATATATTTTTAATTTGAAAAAAAGGGACTCAAACGGGCATTAAGCCCCTGTTTGACACCTTTTTTTTTTCATTTTTCATTTTAACCACACATTTTATTAATAAAATAATATTACACATAAACTCAAAAATTCTCCTTAATTTTTAACCACACAATCTTCTATCAATTACTATTTCAAAAATTATTTTTCAAACAAAATGAGTGTCTGACATGGACTAAATAAAAAAACCATGATTTAAAAAAATATATCTTCTTGTCCATGCCCACATCAAAGTGATTGATGATAGTTGTTATTGTTTTGATAGGTGGCGGGTTGGGTAAGAATTTATTTTTATTTTTTTCTTTCATTCTTATTTTTGATCTATTTTTGTTTATATTACTGAGAAGAGTAATACCATTTTTAAATAAAATTTTAACTTAATGCAAGGGTAAAATTGTAGAAGTGCTACTATAATGAAAGAATAATGCTACATGTACAGTTTTATTTGACAATATTGATTGACAACATTAGATACATTAATTTCAAAAAAATTGTTTTATAAATCAATCACCCGAATTTGACAACACCAACATTGTTAACCATTGTTGTCGAATATGATTCTACGAATAACATCATTGATAATGAAAACTGGGGACATAAAAGCTACTATTTGATATTGGCTAGATAAATTGACATTATATTTTTTATTAGGTGCATTACATCTTAATTTTATGAAAATCTTTTTCTTATTGTCATACATTATTATCATCTACGTTACATTAATTAGTGCATCTTGTCACTAATGATGATTCCCATCCAAAAATTCCAAAAAGATAGTGAAAGGACTTTTTTACCCCTTATATTTTAAATAAGCATAAAAAATAACAAACATGAAATTGTTACTAAATGTATCCCTCGTTTCAAAGAACAGTAACAATTTTTTGTGGAAATTACGCCACCCACCTTATTCTTAAAAAATATTTGAACATTTTTTTTCAATAAATACTATAAAATCATAGTAAAAATAAAACATGATATAACTAAATAAAAAAAGATAATAATTTAGGTAACTTAATTTACTCCAACAAACTTGCCCTTATAGTAACCCACTGATTAATCTGGAAATTCCTAAAATTTTGTCATTCATCTTCCTTCCAAATCCTTTTCATTGAGAATCATCTTACTCTCAAGACCCCCCCACGCCCCAACCCCTCTCTCGCTCCCAAAAAAAAATAAAAAAAAAAATCTTTTTTGCAAATTGATCTTCATACAGATCCCCCTGCAAGTTATAATCATTAGTATTATTGCACAATGATTACAAACCATATAATCAACACCTAATTTTCACGAATTGTATAATGCCCAGACATGGAGACATATTACAAGACCAAATTCTGATCTTCAATTTCTGAAATTGATCGCCAGAATTGCAAATATTCAAATGACATATTCTGATTTAAAGATTTTATATTGATTGAATGACAATTTTTATACATAACCCATGTGAAATTTTGACAAATCTGTGAATAAAATGCAACTTATTGAAAAACATATCCAATACTGTGACATTACCACGAGATTTCGACTTCAAATTTGAAAACATTTTATATAGACTTCGCGAGTTCTCGCTTCAGGTTGCGTGAAAAAACTTCAGTGTGTTTAAACCACGGACGCCATTGATTTTCTTTACCAATCTTTAATTTTTAATTTTTTAAAAAAGACATTAAATGTGAGGTGTGAAGTGTGCATTATTCAAAAAAATTTGGTCACAAATTATTATCTGGGTTCTCTATTATTAGAAGTTAGTATTTTTTTTATTATATTTCATATATAAAAAAATATTTTTAGTTATTTAAATATTACGTAGTAAAACATGAAATAATATTTTGTAAAGATGTATATACAAATTTTTCCGGAAATTTTTTTTAAAGAAAATCGTCATTAAAGATAAAATGTTCTAATTACTAGAAGGCTGAAAAAAAAATGCAATAAAAATAAACTTAAAAACATAAATATAACAATCAGGACTTTAATTACATATAAAATATGGTGCATTTATTAAAAAATGTGGTACGAATATAATCGCCCGAACCGAGCTGCTGTGCCAGGTTGGTAAAAGACCTGGCACAGCCATGTGAGATGGGGTGGGTGGATGTTTTAACATTTTTGGGGGGTTTTTTTAATGAGTTAGGTCCTCGGGACCCACATCATGTGAGATAGTCTGTACAAAATCTGTGAACCAAAATCTGGTAGAGTAGAATGATTCTAATCGCCCTTCGAATATTGGGGACCCCTGTTGCGGAAATTTACAAGTTCACGCACGGCCCCACAGACCACTCCAATTTGAATGGGGAGGTGCACTTTACAAAGTCAATACAGTGGCTACCACGTCAGTAATACGACGTCGTATGATTCTCTGTCGGATGCACCAACAAAAAACCAGACCTCGTTTCAAAAACGACCCAATTTCGCAGAAATTCTTTATTAATACATATAAAATTATGTATCTACAGAATTAATCATAAAAAAAAATCCCAGATAAGCACAAAAGTTTGTACAGATGAAATGATAATTAACTATTTTTCCTCTTTGTTATGGGAAGATTAGTACTCACAACAATATCATCCTCAACAACACCGCAGCTTCACCACCACCATAGCCTTCCATCGAACTGGCGGCGGCGGAAATCAAATATCTATAAAAAGGGGATAAAGGAAGAGAAGATGATGGGACAAGAAGGGGAGAGCAGTAATGGAGAGACCGGCAAGCTACGGCGGCTGCCGCTGTCGGAAGTGGTGGAGGACTGTGTAAGGAGGTGGTTCCGTGATACTCTCAACGAAGCTAAAGCTGGGGATATCAATATGCAGGTCCTTGTAGGCCAGATGTATTATAGTGGCTATGGTGTCCCCAGAGATGCCCAAAAGGTTTTTTATTTTTTTCTTTAATAATAACAATAATAATTATTATTATTATTATGTTGTTGTTGTTGTTGTTGTTGTTGTTGTTCTTATTATTATTATTATTATTATTATTATTATTATTATTATTATTATTATTCTTGTTGTTGTTATTGTGATTTAAAGTGAAGAAGAACATGTATATGATTACTGGTAGCTGTATTGTTACTGTGGATGTTTTCCAGATTGATTGCTTTTATATGTTTGATTGGCTTGTATTATTGGATGCTCTTTAATGGTATTTTTAGCTTTTGACAATTGCCTGATTTTAAGTATTAGTTCTTGGAATGGAATTTTAGGGAAGAATTTGGATGACAAGAGCTTCAAGAGTTAGATCTTCAGTTTGGAAAGTCAGCAATAAGCGCCCAGGTACAACTCTTCCTTCATCTCCCCTCCCTCGGCGCACGGGTGTGTCAGTGCCTGCTTGATTGTTACCTTTTTCCGTTCCCTGTCTCAACAAAGTATCTTTGTGGAAATAAATTTTGCAGGTTACAACGCAAGTGACTCTGATTCAGATGAGTTGAGAGCAGGCTCTTGAATAGGTGTGTTACGTTTGCCCTGTGCCTATTTTCATCTCTATATTTGTGCTGCATTTAACTTAGGATTGCCTGGATTCTTGACTTAAGATCTTACAAATTTTTACTATTGAAGTTTTTTGATTATGCATCTTTGGTACATTCTCTGCATTCTCAGTGAGTAAATATAGAACATAAGTTTTGAATCTAATTGATGAGCTTCCACAATGTCTACCTTTGTTAGAACTAGATGGTATGACCTTGCTTTGACTCTTTTTATAGGGGCTTAGTTTGATATAATGTTCAGCATTTCTTGGGAAATAGCTTTACTCTTGAGGTCTTTATTGAATTTACTCAATTACATCTGCCTTGATAGCTTTTACTTTGATAGATTTATTCTTGATATTGTTTTAATTCTCAAGCACTAACGTACTTGACTGGTCCTGTGTCTTCATCTGTAAGACTTCGAGCCACCCAACCATCTAGTTGGTATAAAAATATTTTCGTTTCACTTGCTCTAGTTGATTCTTCAGGATTTTCCCACTCAAATGTGTAGCATTATCTGTTGAGCAAAGTGAAAGAAGAGAATTAGTCAATCTAAAAACTTATTTTTAGGAGCATATTGGCTGAACTGTTATATTTCTTTTTACAGCAGTAATCTTTCCATCTTTTCTGAATTTTTTTAGTAATTAATGCCATTTATAATATTTCATCTTAGAGCCTACCCAAGGTTTTATATGCTTCTTTCATTTTCTTTTGTCCATTCAATGAGCATTCAAACTATTAAATGGGGGAACATAGAAACAAAATGCTAGGAGTCGGTTGGACAATTTTATTTGGGGATTAGCAGTAGCAAGACAGTTCTTCTCCAGTAGATTTTCTGTGTAGCCTAATATCAATGAGAAAGAAACAAAGGGCCTGTTTGATGTAGATTTTTGAGACTAGATTTTGTGAGAATTTTTTTTTAGAGAACGTGCAGTTAAAATGTATGGAAAAGTTATGGATTCATGGGCAAAATTATTTTATGAAGAGAGAACGTATGATTGAAAATGAGTTTAGGAAAAAATGAGTTATAAAGAATCGTACCAAAGGGGCAAAAAATGTTCCATATGAAGTTGGCTATTCTGAAGACAATATGCTTGCTGCTTCTATATATCAGTTGAAGTAGTAACAAAGGATAAGTTTTAGGATAGTGAACTTTCTTTTCTGAAACGTCCTAAATAGAAAGAAAGACGACCTCTGTGGGATGGCAGGATAGTTTTGTAGTCTTTATTATCATTTTGGATAAGTGCGCAAAATTGCAGAGGGTGCAAATGTAAGTCGAGAGAAGATGGTTCCATTGGGTACTTCCTCTTACTTGCATTATAATCTTTACCATAATTCTGCTAGCCTTTTCTTCGTCTATTCGTTTATTCTCTATCATAACTTTCTTCCATATAATTACCTTGTCTTGTAAATGCGTTCTGCAAGCTGTTTACATCTATAATTGTCTGGTGGCAGAGATTGCTCCTGGCATCTTTTCCTATGAGTGACTAATTAGCATCTCTATATGTTTTGTAGGGTTCTTCGCAATTTGTGCACCGTGAATTGCCTTGTGATGGTACCATCCTTTTATTGCTAAATCTTTTCTTTTCTTCCCTGCTTATCACTGTACAATCAAGCTTGAATGTAATCCTTAGAGATGAACATCCCCATACAATCAGATCACGAAGAATTCTACACATTTGTTCGACTGCCTGCTTTAACTCGTGATTATCGTGAAATTTGTTGCTAAATTATTCTTTCTAGTCCAAGATATTAAGTTTGCAGTTGTTTGTATCTCATACTTTCTTATGTCATGTACTAATTGGAATTAATTCCCCAAAGCAAATAATGCTTTGAAAGTTGGTCTACAGTTACGAATTCCGCTGAAATTTTAGTTTTACCTCTGAGGTTGTCTATCGAACTTCCTAGTTCCTATTCCTCTTGTAAGAAATGAAATACTCACGCCCCCAGGGCATATCTCCCAGTGGCAAAGGGGGGGCGGTTAGGGCTCAGCGCGGTAGTGTGCAGAGTTCGATTCCCCGCAAGGTGGAATTGACTTTGTTGCAAGCGGGAGTTACCATAGGGTTAATAGCCCAGACCTATCCATAAGCTCTCCACCCTGGCTCCTGGGAGGCACATCCTGCGATTTACCT